TCTTTGTCACAATGTTTTCAATCTTCAATATGATAAAGAACATAGCCAAATGATTACAAAAAATAATTAAACTATATATCTTTCCCCTCTAACTAATGAACTATATGATATTTACCCATACTCATATTCTTGACCTTTTTTGCACTTACATGGGATTTAATAATTAAATGACTGTTTTGGGGGTTACTTTCAGATTAAATTTTTATAAGAAATTGAATGACTGAATTCTGTGAATTTCAAAATGCAGTATTTTCTACCATTTTTATTGAAGCTGTCAAGTACGGGAAAAAGTGGCATTGAATTAATTATGACGTCTAAATGGGTTAGCACAGGTTTAACTCATTTACAAATTATGATGCCATACAAAGTAGGTTCTACGTTAAAAGAAATGTAATGAATAACGTGTGCTTAATCAAAAGTTTATGTCTACATGTATTCTTTTTGCATTAGAATGACTGTGTATTTTACACTGGCCCATAGCTTTACAGAGCATATTTTTAGGTCTTATACTTACCCCAACCCCTTTCTGATTGAGGAGGAAGTCGATAGTGAACAAAAGCAAAAAAAAAAAAAATAATAACCACTCTATTTTTATTTTTCTAAAAGAAGGAATTAAAAATAAGCTAAAGATAATCTACTATTCTATTAATTTTTAACTGTTACTTTGCCACAATACTTTCATGTATACCTCCACCAACATTTAAAGTAATGCTTTAATCATTGCGAAGTAAATTATGATATTGTTGTACTTGTGTGAAGGCTTAACTTCATTTCAATATTTTATTTAGAGCCTCTTTAGAATTATTGAAAGGCATAGAGTTTTATTTATATTTTTGCTTTTCATTTATTATTTTCTTTTTGTGTTTATTTAACGTTTAATGTTCTTTTTTTTTGGGGGGGGGGGATAAAAAATTCTTCCTCTTTCATTGTCAAATAAGATTTGCCAGACTTAAACAATCTTAGAGTTGAAATGACGGAAAATTGATTTTTTCATATTAAAAAGTATTTAAACCTGATTTTTGCATGGTTTGATTTCTAAAAAAAAAAGTGGAATATCATTCTTTAAGCAAACATTATAAGGAGTAATATTAAAAAGAAATTTTATTTACTTGACAATTAAAGAATCTCTTTTCAAACACAATTTTAGCATTGAAAGACTACGTGAATCTCCTTATTATTTCATACGACTTTTTGTATTTTTCTGGTTACAGAAAATGTAAAAATTGTTGTTTCGCTGTAAAAAAGATATCAAAGAGTGCATATTTTATATCACTTTAAAGGGGGTCATTTTTCAATGGGGGTCATTATTTTATAGGACTAACAAATAAAATAATGACCCCCTAAGGCCCTTTTTCTACAAAAAATGTTTTTTTTCTACGGGTGGGGGTCATTTTTTGTCGTTGAAAAATGACCCCCGGTCATTATTCGATGGGGGTCATTATTCGTCTTTACACCGGTATACTTTGCTTTTGGGAGGTTAATATCTACAACACATCAATGTCCTTTTTTGACGCGATTGATTTTTCACACCTTGAGTACAGATCGACATTACATGTAACTGTGTAACCCTTTCCTCTCTGAATTTATTTTAACATTATAAAAAAATTATTCTGGATGCATATTATTTCTCTGTAGCCAGTTTAAACAGGCCTACACCAGTTTTTCTGGGGCAAAACTTGATAAAATGTTAGAAAAAGAAACCCCTCCCTTCTTTTGACATCATTTCTAAGGCCTCATTTATTTGGACATTCCATGTAAATTTTACGATAAATTTTCAAAGAACTTCCAGAATGAGGTAAAAATTTTATATTTTGTTGAACAATTATGTCCCTACACATACCTGAATTAACGAGAATTTTGGATGTAAAATGTTCATATCAATAGAGTTTTTTTTAGTTACACATAGGTCGCATTAAACGTCATATTCGAGGTTGCGCCGCCTGGACATACCATTGCTTACACAAACATTACTCATTTATAATGAAATAAAATTTTGGATTAATGGTTTATTCTTTAGATAAAAAAGATCATGTTTACTTAATATTTTAAAATTCATTTATGTACTTAAAGCAGTTTTTATTTTATAGCGATAGTCCATGAACGTTTTCTAAAGTGTAATAAGGGATCCCCCCACCCACCCTCCCCCCCCCCCCCCCCCCCCCCGAGCATGCCGGGTTAAATAATAATTGCTCATGTTTGTCGACACCTTCTCGTATGTACTAGCAGTATTGACTTTTTAAAGACATTTTCAAAATTTCAATCTTAGCCATAGCTATTAAACGGATAAGTTAAGCGATATCCTCCTCATGATTATTATTTTTTTTTTTTGACAAAACATACCATTGAGTATCAGCCGCAATGCAATGACCTTTGACATTAAACTTATGGATTTGACCTACTTTTCAAAAACTTAACTTTGACCTTATCTCCTGAATAATTAGTGCTTATGGTTTACTATTTTACCGGTTTATTTCTTGTGGTAAGAGCATCTCTTGAATATACCAAAATTTTTTATCCTTATACTAGGACCCAAGGCTTTTAAAAAAACTACGGTACGACGGTCAGGACTTCTGAGTGGCTGATTCTGTGACTCTGTTATATTTCACATGTGTATTCTTTGTGAAATTCCTTTGGGTATTATTTATATTGACTCCTTGACCTTGTCCAGTTTGACCTACTTTTGAAAATCGCTATAACTTCGGTCATAATTACTGAACTGTTGCTGCTTTTATAGCTTTTATTTTTCGAAGGTAGATTCACTGTGAATCAAAAATAATACCAAAAATAATTTTATATTGACCTTGGTGTTTGACCTGCAAACGACAATATTCATCGAAAGCTGCTTTGTTTCACAAAATTATCTTGAGTTTTTTTCATTAGCTCCTACAATTTTTCCTATTAGTTCAACAACAAATTCCAAGTTGTAGTCAATCAAAGTTTTGAATATATATAAACCATAGTCTACGCATCGCATAAAATAGAATGAATTGTCTTAATACACATATCGATTTTTAGTTGTGTCATTATTTAAGCATTGGGTCATTCTTTTAAAAGATGTAGTCTCATAATTGCAAAGGTAATTACAAACATACTGATTATTGTTAGCTCGCTAAGTTTTATTTGCAAAGACAATTGCAGATATAAGATAACATCTTTTTTTAAAAATAATGAATCAGTGCTCTTTTTTTTACTCCTTGTCTTGTTTTGCAAATTTAATTTCTTTTTTTTTTTAACTTACTTGAATTATCTCTTACCTAAATAACAATAAATTTAAATGATTTCAAATTTTGATTTTCGCTTATGACATTGCACTTGCATGGTATTTGTTGAATGGCGGACACCACAGTAAAATATATTGGAAATGTGTCGGATTTAACAGCTTCGACTGTCATAGGTTTGACAATAAAGTAATCTACACATTTATTCTCCATCCAGACATATTCATTTATTAGTGTGAATAACAACGAATACTTCTAATTTCAAATTTATTACAACACATATAAAGTACATCTTTTACAGAATATATTTAGTGGAACAAAATCACAATAATTTATTGCTTTACATAATCCTTCATCCCCTGAAAATATATTTGTTAAGGGTTGATGTCAAACAATCTTACAAAAAAAAGAACCCCGTGATAAAAGTTAAAATTAAAACCGTCTCTTGAATCAAAATGGATTCGTCTCATTGATGGATGATCTTTCGTCTGTTATAAAAAAGAATTGAATTAATGTTTTACAGAAAAAAGAACATATTTAACTTTGAAAAAAACCTCTTATAACCATATGATATTTTCACAGTAATACAAACAGAAAAAAACTGCTTATTAAGATTGGATTTTTTTACGGAAATACAAAAAAGACTTCAGATTTAAGAATTAAGATGTAATGATGTTTACCTAGTGACGTCTGATCATCATGGTGGTCCCCCTCACTGATGTCCCGTACTGTACTGTGGGATACCATGGCCAGGACCAGGACCCCGGGGACCATTGACCGTTAAGGAAGGCTCGGTGACAGGCGTTGAACCACCAGCCTCCTCTACGGTTACTGGAAGCAGCACAGTTACCACCAGTATACCTGTCGTTATCCCTGTCCGGGGTACTGAAGGACATCCCAGACAGATCGTTAGGCTTCTCATGTGGTCACCGTTAAAATACAATATTATAAAAAGAGAGCAGCACAGTCATCTCCAGTCAATCTGTCATTATCTCTGTCTGGGGTACTGAAGGACATCCCAGACAGACCGTAGTTAGGATGAATAGTGTTTAACATAGAGTCTCCTGTAAAATTAAACAAAATCAATTACAGAGATAATTGATTTATATATCTTCAATCTAACTGACATTCATAATACCGAGGTACTTCTAAGATAGACGGCTTAAGGTGCTGGAAAGGGCGGTAATATCTACTTAAGAATACAATACAACAATACATTATGTAATTCATTTAGATTCTTTTCTAATGTATCAATAAACTTTGTTTGTTACACTTTAAAGTTTGACTAAAAAAGGAAATGATTTTTATTTTTATTAAGGTCACTGTGAAATGAATACGTGAAAAAAGGATCTGGTAGAAACTGTGCCTTTGAAATATATAAAATGTAATACGCAAGAATCATTACGAATTATGACGGGACGAGGTAAGAAGTGATGTACCTGTAACTGTTTACATTTTTTTATTTTCATTTAACTCTTTACAATTTACTGAACGGTGATGCAACATACACTTACTGTTGACATTAAAAATAGAAGGTTATCTTTTCACCAGAAGGAATTAGCTCTCTATAGCTCGGTACAACGTTTTCTAAAACTTAGTGTTTATACTAACGACGTAATATATTTAATAAAAGTTGTGAATTGTACATACAAATGATATCGTGATATATTTAAACGTTGTATTAACATGGAACGTTAACAGAATATTAGAGAAAAAACAATTATATTTTAACTTTATATACAACAAATTAATCTTTCAATTAAAAGATACATGATTTTTTTTTTAGAATTTCAGTTGAATACACTTACCTAGAGTTCCCGTGGCAGGTCCTGCAAGAGAGAGTTGATATTTTCCTGCTTCGTCGGACACAGAGAATCTGTCGTACATTTCATACAGCGTTGTACCATTCTGGAGAGTGATGGATACATACAGGGCCGAGTTTTCTTTTGTTAACAGATGTATTAAGCCATTTCCTGTATTAAGATATAGTTTAAATCAAGTTTAAAGTCCATTGCAAAGTAAAAAAAGATATTCAAAATATAAATATTCATTTATGAAAAATCAAATTATTTTGAGTAGTAAATATTGATGTAGAATTTGATGTCTTTCAAAAACCCTCAGGCTGAGGGACCTAATCCTTTTACTGTCTTTTTGATTTAAGATTTCAATGAAGGATATGGAGATATCGAACAGAATGCGATATCAAAGTTAATAAACAATACAAATAGGAACAGAGCAAACACGGACCTCTAAAACATCAGAGGCGGGACCATATGCCAGTGAGCATCCCCTGCTGACCAGTCACACCCACCGTGTACTTCTTGTCATGATTGGGTAATAACAGACACCATTTTTGGGAATTGTCAAAAACATATTACAAACAATTGTACCAAGTTTAAAAATAATATCTTTGATACGCTTCCATTTATTTATCTGCAACAATGAAGAAATTCTGTCTTTTTGAAGTGAATGAAAGTCCCTATTTGAAAGTATATACACTTACCAACCCAGACATCTTGTTCTGGTGAACCGAATCCATTTTTATATGCTGACCAATCCCTGTCAAAACTCAGGGATCCGTTTATTCGTCTTTGAATTGTCTTTAAAAATTAACAATTGTAGCATTACAAATCACTGCTTCGTACAATCGTAGGAACAATATGTTATGATATAGACTAAAATATTCATATTTATTATTAAATTCTACAACTCTTTTAAACGACAAGAAAACGGAATGTAAGTAATGATAAGTGTTACTAAATCTGATATGAACTACACACCGTCCATCCCCCGCCCATTGTCGTCATATCACAGAACACACAGGCAGGACTTGTAATGGTTCCATAGGGATATATATCATACACACCAGAAGTAGTCCTGCCATCTTCATAAAGCTCCTTACAATCTAAGGGAAGAGCTGGAAAAAAAAACTTGATTAGTATTCTGCATAAATACAGATATAAATAGGATACGTGTGAGATTCATTAAGGTTAATTGTTGAAGATAAATTGTGTGCCTTGATGTTGTTCCAATGTAGATTATGATAAGCTCTTTCTCATTAGCTTATTGTTTTATATCTATGATTTGTTAGACATATAACGTGTATAATTAAAGCAACTTAGTGAAAATAATCTTAATACTTTGTCAGTAATTCAAACATTATTTGTATCTCTTACTGGTCGTAATATTAAAGAGAAATTCATTTCTAAGTACATGAAGGATATGGAGATAAAAATGAGACCGTATAAACCGATGTTTCATGTGGTAGGAAGTGTTTGCACGGAAAAGATCCATCAGTGCTCAATGACCATTCAAGTACCGAGTATAGGCATTTGCAGCCTCAAATCGGCAAGTGGTGGTGTTCTAAATGTGTGCGAAAAATTGTCAAGAGGGACCTTAAATAACAAACAACCGAAAAAGCAAACAGACAGAAAAAATAACCATTATACATACGTCGGGAAAATAGACAACAGTCATACATAAAACGGGGAAGAAAAATAAAAATAATTAATCAAATACATTATAAAGACATTGAAATAATAACAATCAAATGGAATCAAATAACAATTATACATACGACATTGAAATAATAACAGTTATACATACAACCGGGAAGTGAATGACTTTCATGAGAGTAGTATCTCCAGCCGTCCTCCTTAGTCATCCTAGTCGAGCAAACCTTTTTGTGTGTACGACATTTCCTTGTTTGCGAGTTGAAACCAAAGACGATGCACTTTCCTCGACACATTGCGGCGCACTCGGTCAAAGAAATAGAATCCTGTTCTCCTAAAATCTCCTGGTTTGATATTTTATCAATCATATCAGGATTTGTAGTATATTTCTGAGAAAAAACGGTAGCTTCGGACAAAGCCATGCAGGCGACAATTAAAGTGATAACACACAGATTGCCCATTTCCGGTTTTTCTTTTTTTTTCTTAAGAAAAAAATAAATGCTATGTTCTTGTGAATCTGTAAAATTTTGCCAAATGGTCCTATAACTACCAAATATAAATATCAGAACCTTAATCAATGCCCGAAATATGATTGGCTGTTACGTACTGTATATTTTACTGTTAACTATCGATTTTATTGAATTTAATATGAGTTGTCATATATGCTTACTTTGGAATTGCAATTCAATTTCACTCCTCTTATGTCATGCTGTTTAAGAGTGTTTTTTTTTTTAGTAAGCTGTCTTTAAAATTTTCAAATTTTATAAATATTTTCCTTCATTATCTTTCTCTGAATGAAATTAAAATTCATTTTTTCTATATTCAAGTTAAAAAAAACAATTATCTGATTCTTCGAAATAGTGAGGCTCAAATTTTTGGGCTTGTACATGTTGTAGGAAAATGTTTAAAATTCGCATAGAAACAAGTTTGCGGAGTTGTTTCTTTTTTCTATTCCTCTGCTCCGATGGGTATACTGATATACTATTTTATTTCGTATAGAAAATACAAAATGTTGACTTAAAGTGAGGTATCGATTTTATTGTTTAACAATATATATATATATATATTTTTAAAGCTTGCCTTGTTTCGAAACTGTTCGTACATAAACAAAGAAGGCAAATCTTGGGCGCAGATCTCAACGCCTTCAGTACACCAGCATGTTATTATTTTCTATAAAAAGATAATAATAATTTTAAAAAAAAGCGTTATTGATTTGTTGTACAATAACTTTATAAGGTAGAAATTCCATAAGGAGAAAATATGCATGTGCAATTTTAAAATCGATTACTTCAGAAAACCTGCAAAATGTGCCTTGTTGTCTGTGGGCACACGGTCAACAGTGACATGCAGTCCGATTGGGGTGCAGGAAAATATTATGAAGATTTATTTTCTGGTTTAAAATATCTGGATAAAAACGTGTTCGTCATTACACTTAAGTATACACTAACAACTTAATTTACAAGCTGAAATGACGACGGACTTTTCCGTTAATTTTGAATATTGGCAAGGAGCAAGTGGAGAAACTGAGCCGTCACCAGGGGATGCTTACTCCTCCATGGCATTTGACCCCACCCAGATGTTTTTGACGTTCGAGGTAGCCCTGCTTCTATTCTGTTTATTGTTTGATGTGCTTTTGAGCTTAAATACTGTTCGCTATTTCCATATATTTTATTACAATTATTACACCTGTATTAAGTTGCCGCGCAGACTAGATATATGATTAAATGAGAAAAACACATTAAAAAGCTTTGTCTATGGCCTTTTATTATTTCAATATTTTAAAACATTTCTTAATTTATTTTCAATTTTAATATGCAAAAAAAGGAATTTACGCGCCTAATATAAGTATCGTTCTTAATCACGGGGCACAGTCTTTTATTCCACCATATTTTAAGTTATAGACCACACCTTGTATTTAACTTTATGGGACAGATTATAAGACTATACGTTGTATTTTCTACAAATATACATTGACTATTGCTTCCAAACATAATAATTACAAGAAAACTTTATATCCTGGATATCGAGTATCTAAAACAAAATCCTCCATCGTGTTCATGTTCTTCTTCGCCCTATAACTATAGTCCTGCTGGAACGTTAGTACAGGTGACATAAATACTGTTAATTATGAGGACCTTGGATTCATAATTTCAAAAGGTCCTAAATAAAGGGAACCCCATCTCTCAATACTGGCCGCGGAATTTCATAAATATTATGATTCTATAAAAGAATACGTCTCACGATGGGCACAATATAATTAAAGAAGACTTTGACACCTTGTCAGAATGGATTAAATGTATGAGATTTATGTTACGTACAATCACGTATTACATGTATGTAAAAGTTTGAGGGGCAATATGAAAACCATCTATATTTCTGTATTCAATAATCTAGAAGTAAAGGATAGATTGATTACATAAATAGTACCTACTGATCCCTGCTGACAAAGCAGTTAACAACGTTGTCTTCGATTGTAAGGCTAATTATATAAATCGTATTTCAGAACATAATTAGGATTTAATTCTAAATATGGTAATCCAACTTATACTCATAGTTCACTTTCTAAGGTAGAAATTCTTTAAAAGCATCTGTCAATTCTGAATATTTTTAATACCCCAAACATCTAAATGATTCTGAACTACCACATCCATATTGGATTCCAAAACTTCATAGGAATCCTTAACAATGAAAACACTTAGCAGATTCCAGTAAATGTTCAACCAAGCCCCCTTCTTAACTTCTTTCTAAGTTGTTAGTGAAAGAGATACTTTAAGGGTATTGAGCAAGGATATATTCGAGATGTTCTTTTTTAATTAGCAGATCTATTTTTGTTTTCATATAAAGCAATATTTTGTGATTTCAAATTGTTCAAATGTTCTTTGGCATTTTAAGCATCCATGTCTGATCAACACAACTTTCTCTGTGATTTAGTCGAGTTATGACCTTTGACCCCATATAAAGTTCACACAGAATTGAACATATTCTCTCTTCAGTGGGTTTATCTAAGAAAGATTTTTGCAAATGTAAATATTCTTATTTATACATGTATTTTTTAGCTTTAAAAATATGGGTAAATTTAGGTTTAGTGAAAACGGTGGGGCCAGTCATTGATTAATGCAGGTTAGGAAATCTAATATATTCGTGCTTTTGGTCTGATTTCGTGCAGCTTCCACCGGTTTGGTTTGAACATATTTCATTGTTTTGATGTTAAAACAAAAGGATTGGACACAAGTTCTTAAAAACTTAGAACGTCCTCTCCTTTAAAACAATTTGTAACACAAAATACATTGTTCAAATTAATTTAAACAGGAACCAAAGGTCAATAAGATTATCTAACATAGACAATGCATATACAGAATTGAATTAATGTAGTATGGACATACTTATCTAAAAGCATTACTCAAAAACGACCAGAACTCTAAATATACAATTGCACATCTAAAAATAAACTTTCATTTTCAGAAATACTGATCGAATTATCTCCCCATAATAGAACATGAGTGTCTACAGAACGTAAATTTATCATTCTAAAAATAGCATTGAACAAATCGTTTCTTGGGGCAGTGTAGTTCACACAAGAAAAAAATAAATGATATGCATCTTCTATTTTACTGCAAGTACACAGTTGACTGTCGATAATATTTCACCTAAATAAGTCTTTATTTAGGACACAATTGTGTCTTAATCTAGTATGAATTACACTCCAGTAACCATCACCAAAAGTAAAAAATGACGGGGTGGTTGTTTTCTGAGAGTTTATACATTTTTTGAAGGAACCAATTGTAGTAAATTGTTTTGTTTCAAGAGATAAAGAATTCCATTCCCTTATTGCCATTGGTACAAACGATGATTTATAAATATTTAATCTACACCTAGGGATACAGTAATTTTGTGATTGTCTTGTTACGTAATTTGATTCTTGTGATCGAATGTTTGGAAATATTTCTTTCAAATAACCGGGTACCATATTATGAAATATTTTGTACATAGTTGTTCTAACTTTGGGCATTCGTCTAACAGCAAGTGGTTCCCAACCAGTTTCAAAATAAAGAGAATCTCGCGATGCCAATGAGGTTAATCCAGTGACTACTCTTGCTGCTGCAAGTTGCAATTTTTCTAGTTTTTCAGCATCTTGACTAGAACACCCACACCAAACTTCGGTTGCATATTCTAACTTAGGTCTTATAAAAGTAGTATATAAAAGAGATAAAGTTTTTGCACTGACCTTAAACTGCAATTTTTTAAGTAGACCTAATTTTTTATATGCATTAGCTACGATAGAATCAATGTACCCTGACCAAGTGAGGTCGTTTGAAAATAGAATACCTAAGTGATTATGTGATGATACTAAATCTAAATAACAATCTTGAAATTTTAACAATGGTAAATCTACGTTTTTCTTAGTACTAAAAAATACAGCTTTGGTTTTAGTAGGATTAAATTTCAATAGCCATTGTTTAGACCACCGCTCAAATTGATTTAAATCATTATTCAATCCTAATTGAATATCATGTACAT